CCTGTCATCTGGCACTGGGCATTTGGGTTGTTGCTTCAATGTCTGGCAATTGATCTCAGTGGCCACTGTGTCCGTAAGGATGTAGGGATCTTCTCCAAGGACCATTGGTATCACACACCCGCTTGCGTCAGGCAACCAATCTCCTTGTGGAGTTCTCGGCATTTCGCCTAGGGAGATCCGGGAGTCGGTAGGAGATTTTGAACGTCAGTCACCAGCAACACTTGATCTTCTAGGTAACCCCTTGGCCTCTGTGTTACCGTCGAAATCTTTTCGAGTCCGGATGAGGGCACAGCAGTCCTTGGGCAGCGCCAGTGTTGTTGGCAGGGGGTGGGGGGTGGTAGGGGGTGTCGCTTTGGTGTGTCTCTGGAGCAACTGAGGTTGTGTAACCCGGGTTTTGCGAAGCAGGGCTTTTGTGCGCCTCCTCTGTAGCAACAAAACCACGGTGATGAAGAGACACGATGGGATACTATGCGGCTCTGAAAAAGGACACGGTCGGGCCATTGGCAGCCACATGGCATGAGGTGCTCGTGGAGAGGGAGAGATGGCAATTCTTAATTTTTGTGAATTTAATTTTTTTACTTTCGATTTGCAGTACTATTAATCGTGGTGGCGATTAATAGTATTTACAATTGCTATTGATTAATTAATAGTTGATTGATTAATGTTGATTAATTAATATTAATTAATTTACAATACTATTAATCATTGGTCCGTAATTCCAACACCACGCCCATCCCCAGGGCCGCCGTCTCTGTCCCCAAAGGACCCCGTCCCTATTCCTCTCACCTTCCCAACAATATTTTGTGGATCAGTTCTCTTACTGTGTTGCCTTTGGGCCCTTTGTGGCTCCCTGCGTGTGTATCTCTACGTCCTACCTACGAGATATCTTCCTATCTCTCTCCTCCTTCTGACTGATTTCACTCACGAGTGTCTCCTCCACTTCCACCCAGGTGGCTGCAAATGCAGTGATTTTTGTCCCTTTTTTTAGAGCTGCATAGTATTCCATTGTGTCTCTGCACACAACTTCTTGATCCACTCATTGAGCGTCCGGGTTGTTGTTTCCCTATCTTGACCATTGTACTAAGTCTGGCCAAGAGCATGCGTGTGCGTAGATCCTGGCGAATGAGCTTTTGTGTCTGTCTGGGGGCAAGCTACCAAGATGTGAGAGTTAAAACTTGGGCACTGCAAAAGAAATGAGCTCTTTTTCAAAGACACCGGAGAACAGACGACCGGTCAAAGAAACTTTGGTCCATCTACACCGTGGAATACTACGCAGCTGTTAGGAAAGATGAAGTCATGACATTTGCTTGTAAGTGGACGGTTGTGGAGAGTCTCATGCTGAGTGAGTGAACTGAGTCAGGAGGAGAGGTGCAGACATAGAAGGACTGCACTCATTAGTGGAGTATAAAATAACATAGTAGGAGACTCAAGGAAAGTAGAGACATGGGCCAGGAAGATTGCTCCATGGTTGGAAGCCGCTTCATGAGCTGGGGGAGAAGGCAGCTGGGATGGAGAAGGGGTCACTGAGTCAGGCAGGAGTGGAGGGATCACTCGGGATGGGAGATGTGTGCTGAGAGAAGATCAAGAACCCAATGTGATGTGTATTGGATCTGTATTGATCTGTATTGATCTCAGTGTCTGTATTGCAAACCAGGATGCCCCAAAGTCGAGAGAGAGGCTGGGGGAGATTGTCTGCCATGGAGGCAGGGGAGGAGTGGGATGGGGGCATACTGGGGACATTGGTGGTGGGGAATGGGCACTGGTGGAGGGACGGGGGTTGCATCATGGTGTGACTAAAAATCGTGAAAGCTTTGTCACTGCAGCTCACAGTGATTCAGTTAAAAAAAATTTAAATACATTTATAGAGGAGGTTCTTCGCAGTGAGGGAAGAATATTTGCACGCAACTTTTCTGATGAAGGGTCGATATCCGTGATCTATAAAGCACTCACTCGAGTTAACATCAACAACAACAACAATCCAATGACCTCCCCGTCCATCAACGGGGAGATTCAGGTGAACGAATACTTCCCCGGAGAAGACATTCGGTCAGCCTGCAGGCTCCGAAACGGTGCTCACGGGCACGCAGGGTGCAAGAAACGCAAACGGCACTGAGATACAACTTTTTGCCGGCAACAACGGTGTGTTCCTTACTGAGAGGAACTCATTGAAAGTAGTTTTAAAAAATCGATGAAAATCTTCTTTAAAACATTGTTGACACAGCCCATGTCCAAGGGTAAGACGTGGTGGGAAGGAACGTCGAGATTTGTCCAGAGCACCGAATCGGGCTTTGCTGTGGTCCGGGGCCAGCCGCCGGCCACTCTGATGACCCCAGGGCCAGCAGCGGGCCACTGCGATGACCCCAGGGCCAGCCGCCCGCCACGCTGATGACCCCAGGGCCATTAGTCGGCCACTCTGATGACCCCAGGGCCATTAGTCGGCCACTCTGATGACCCCAAGGCCTGTAGCTGTCCACTCTGATGACCCCAGGGCCTGTAGCTGGCCACTCTGATGACCCCAGGGCCAGCCGCCCGCCACTCTGATGACCCCAGGGCCATTAGTCGGCCACTCTGATGACCCCAGGGCCTGTAGCTGGCCACTCTGATGACCCCAGGGCCAGCCGCCATCCAATCTGATGACCCCAGGGCCAGCAGCGGGCCACTCCAATGACCCCAGGGCCAGCCGCCCGCCACTCTGATGACCCCAGGGCCATTAGTCGGCCACTCTGATGACCCCAGGGCCTGTAGCTGGCCACTCTGATGACCCCAAGGCCTGTAGCTGGCCACTTCGATGACCCCAGGGCCAGCCGCCGGCCACTCCGATGACCCCAGGGCCAGCCGCCCGCCACTCTGATGACCCCAGGGCCATTAGTCGGCCACTCTGATGACCCCAGGGCCTGTAGCTGGCCACTCTGATGACCCCAAGGCCTGTAGCTGGCCACTTCGATGACCCCAGGGCCAGCCGCCGCCCACTCCGATGATCCCAGGGCCAGCAGCCGCCCACTCCGATGACCCCAGGGCCAGCTGCCAGCCACTCCGGTGACCCCACAGCCAGCTGCCGTCCTCTCCCATGACCCCACGGCCAGCAGCCGGCCACTCCAATAACCCCCGTGTCAGCCTCTGGCCACTCAAATGACCCCAGGGCCAATAGCCGGTCACTCCTATGACCCCAGGCCCTGTAACCAGCCACTCCGGTGACCCCAGGGCCAGCCATTGGCCACTCTGATGACCCCAGGGCCAGAAGCCGGCCACTCTGATGACCCCAGGGTTAGCCGCTGCCCATTTCGATGACCCCAGGGCCAGCAGCCAGCAACTCCAATAACCCCCAGGTCAGCCGCTGGCCACTCCGATAACCCCAGGGCCAGTAGCTGGCCACTCCGATGACCCCAGGCCCTGTAACCAGCCACTCCGGTGACCCCAGGGCCAGCCACTCCGATGACCCCAGGGCCAGTAGCTGGCCACTCCGATGACCCCAGGACCAGCAGCCGCCCACTTCGATGACCCCAGGGCCAGTAACTGGCCACTCTGATTTCCCCAGGGCTAGCCACTGTCCACTCCAGTGACCCCAGGGCTAGCTGCCAGCCACTCCAATGACCCCAGATCCAGTAGCCGCCACTCTGATGACACAAGGGCCAGCCGCTGGCCATTCCAGTGACCCCAGGGCCAGCCGCTGGCCACTCCAATAACCCCCCGGTCAGCCGCTGGTCACTTCGATGACCCCAGCCACTCCGATGACCCCAGACCCTGTAACCAGCCACTCCGGTGACCCCAGGGCCAGCCGCTGGCCACTCTGATGACCCCAGGTCAAGTAGCCGGCCACTCTGATGACCCCCGGGTCAGCCGCTGGCCAGTCCAATAACCTCAGGGCCAGCTGCCGGCCACTCCAATAACCCCCAGGTCAGCCGCTGGCCACTCCGATGACCCCAGGGCCAGCTGCCGGCCACTCCAATAACCTCCGGGTCAGCCGCTGGCCATTCCAATGATCCCAGGGCCAGCAGCCGGCCACTCCAATAACCCCCAGGTCAGCCGCTGGCCACTCCGATGACCGCAGGGACAGTAGCCGGTCACTCCGATGACCCCAGTGTCAGTAGCCGGCTATTCCGATGACCCCAGGCCCTGTAACCAGGCACTCCGATGACCCCAGGGCCAGCCGCCGGCCACTCTGATGACCCCAGGTCCAGTATCCAGCCACTCTGATGACCCTAGGGTCAGCCGCTGGCCACTTCAGTGACCCCAGGTCCAGTATCCGGCCACTCTGATGACTCCAAGGCCAGTAGATGGCCACTCCGATGACCCCAGGGCCAGCCGCTGGCCACTCTGATGACCCCAGGTCCAGTATCCAGCCACTCTGATGACCCTAGGGTCAGCCGCTGGCCACTTCAATGACCCCAGGTCCAGTATCCGGCCACTCTGATGACTCCAAGGCCAGTAGATGGCCACTCCGATGACCCCAGGGCCAGCCGCCGGCCACTCTGATGACCCCAGGTCCAGTATCCAGCCACTCTGATGACCCTAGGGTCAGCCGCTGGCCACTTCAGTGACCCCAGGTCCAGTATCCGGCCACTCTGATGACTCCAAGGCCAGTAGATGGCCACTCCGATGACCCCAGGGCCAGCCGCCGTCCACTCCGATGACTCCAGGTCCAGTATCCAGCCACTCTGATGACCCTAGGGTCAGCCGCTGGCCACTTCAGTGACCCCAGGTCCAGTATCCGGCCACTCTGATGACTCCAAGGCCAGCCGCCGTCCACTCCGATGACCCCAGGGCCAGCCGCCGTCCACTCCGATGACCCCAGTGTCAGTAGCCGTCCACTCCGATGACCCCAGTGTCAGTATCCGGCCACTCTGATGACTCCAAGGCCAGTAGATGGCCACTCCGATGACCCCAGGGCCAGCCCCGTCCACTCCGATGACCCCAGTGTCAGTAGCCGGCCACTCCGATGACCGCAGGGCCACCCGCCGGCCACTCTGGTGACCGGGCGCCCTCTGTTCTCTCTCTCGCAGGCTTCCTCAGCACGGGCGACCAGGCGGCCAAGGGCAACTACGGGCTCCTGGACCAGATCCAGGCCCTGCGCTGGATCGAGGAGAACGTCGGGGCCTTCGGGGGGGACCCCAAGCGGGTGACCATCTTCGGGTCGGGGGCCGGGGCCTCCTGCGTCAGCCTGCTGACCCTCTCCCACTACTCGGAAGGTAAGGGACCCCCCGCCCCAGACCCGGCAGGGAGACACACACACCGCACCACACACACACACGCTCCACACTCACCCACATACCGCACACACATCACACTTACACCACACCCGTGCACACAGCACCACATACACACCACACACCACACGCATAGACCACACACACTGCACATATGCACACCCACCACACACCCGCTCACACACAGTGACACACACCACACACACACACATAGCACACACCACACACATTCACAGACACACACACATACCATACACACATACCGAACACATCACACACCACACACATACACACCACACACACACACTCCACACTCACCCACATACCACACACACATCACACTTACACCACACACGTGCACACAGCACCACATACACACCACACACCACACGCATAGACCACACACACTGCACATATGCACACCCACCACACACCCGCTCACACTGACACACACCACACACATACACATAGCACACACCACACACATTCACACAACACACACATACCAAACACATCACACACCACACACATACACACACACCACACACCACACACACACACTCCACACTCACCCACATACCACATACATCACACTTACACCACACACGTGCACACAACACCACATACACACCACACAACACACAATGCACACAGCACCAAACACACCACACACCACATGCATAGACCATACACACTGCACACATACACACCCACCACACACCCACTCACACTGACACACACCACACACATTCACACGACACACAACACACACATACCAAACACATCACACACCACACACCCACTCACACACACTGACACAGACCACACACATGCACAAACCACACACACACCACACACATTCACACCATACACACACCACACACACATCCACCACACGCACACACCACACTGATACACAACCACATATCACACAACACAGATACCACACACACGCACCACACACTCCACACACACACCAGAGAATGCCACACATCGCACACCAGACACCGCACACATCGTATACCACACTCCACACACCACACATCACACCACACACACACACAAACCACACACACCCCCCCACACACATACACAGAGGGAACTTTCTCTCAGTGTCACTCGCGGGCTGACACAGCTGTGTGTCCAAATCCTTGGAAACTCTTTAATTTCTTTGACGAATCGTGCAGTATCCTTTCTCTTGGAAACACCCACAGATGTAGAACTGTGCTAAAATAATAATAATAACAATAGCAACAACAACAGCAGAGTTTCGCACTGAAATCCAGTAGTGCCTTCCTTCACTTCCCCAAAATTGGCAACTTTTTCCCCCCATCCAGTTGAGGTGTTTGTTGTTGTGTCTTGAGTTTGGGGCCACGCCCAACGGTGATCAGGACATCCTCCTGGTTCTCTGCTCGAGGATCACTCCTGGCAGTGCTCATGGGGTCAGCCAGCCACGTGCACGGCGAGACGCCCGCCCTGCTGCACTCTCTCTGCAGCCCGTCTGCGTTTCGAGTTCTTTGTCACCGAGACCGGATTCGTGAGGATTTGTCACTGCTCGCAACCCCAGCACCCACAATTTCTCCGTGCCTTATTTTGTCATTCCTTCCTTGTGAGAGGTGGAACGAACGACTTTCATTATCAGGCTCTCGCCCTCTCCGTTTTTTATTTTTCCCTCTAAAAATGAGAAACTGAATCATTCTGGGGACCTACCGTTAAGGGTTCAGTCCCCTAGCATCCGCGGTTCCTATTAATAGAATCCCCGTGCCCGGGGTTCAAGTCATCAGCGCCGCCTTCGGACGCAGGCAGGCGAGATTAACCCGGAGACAAGACCTCTTTGTTACTCCGCAGAAATGATGATTTTTTTTTTCCTGCCGTGGTGCCTTGTGTGGGTGTTTCCTGCCAGCCAGCTTTCGGGGGATGGAAGAAGCCAGTGGGTGGACAGATAGAAAGATGGGTGGGTGGGTGGATGACCCAAAGTCCCAGGTGGTCTTAACTTCATCTCCTGGACATCGAGCCCAGTGAAATCCACGTTTCTTTGGAAAAATGTTTCCCGAAAGTTCTTCCTTCCAGCCTTAGCACGGCAAAGGGTGAAGCGAGGGACATTATTAACCTGCATTTGAAGAGATCTCGTTGGAAGAATTGTCCCAAGTTCCTTACCCAAGAAGCACAATTAATATATACGCTTCTTTGGCAAGACTGGAGCGATAGTACGGCAAGGAGGGCATCTGTCTTGCACGCAGCTGACAGGGGTTCGATCCCCAGCCTCCCACGGGGTCCTCCAAGCACTGCCAGAAGAGATTCCTGAGTGCACAGCCGTAGGGCGAGTCCTGAGTATTGCCAAGTGTGATCCGAAAAAAACGAAGGGGAAAGGAAAAGAAAATTGACTTGTATTTTGTAGTATGAATTATGGACGGCTGTTTTCTTTTTCTAGTTTTATCTGGAGCTAAATGCCTGCGATTTCCTATTGATAGGATTTATGGAGAGGTCAATGAAAAGATGGATGGGTGGGTGGGTGAATGGGTGGGTGGGTGGGTAGATGGGTGGGTGGGTGGGTGGATGGATGGGTGGATAGGTGGAGAGTTGGATGGGTGGGTGGATGGATGGATGGATGGATGGATGCATGGATGGATGCATGGATGGATGGATGGATGGATGGATGTGTGGGTGGGTGGATGGATGGGTGGGTGGATGGATGGGTGGATGGATGGATGGATGGATGGGTGGGTGGATGGATGGATGTGTGGGTGGGTGGATGGATGGATTTTTTGGGTAGATGGGTGGATGGATGGAGGGGTAGATGGGTGGATAGATGGCTGGGTGGGTGGATGGATGGAGGGGTGGATGGGTGGATGGATGGGTGGGTGGATGGATGGGTGGGTGGATGGATGGATGGATGGATGGATGGGTGGATGGATGGATGTGTGGGTGGGTGGATGGATGGATGGATGGATTTTTTGGGTAGATGGGTGGATGGATGGAGGGGTAGATGGGTGGATAGATGGCTGGGTGGGTGGATGGATGGAGGGGTGGATGGGTGGATGGATGGGTGGGTGGATGGATGGGTGGGTGGATGGATGGATGGATGGATGGATGGGTGGATGGATGGATGTGTGGGTGGGTGGATGGATGGATGGATGGATTTTTTGGGTAGATGGGTGGATGGATGGAGGGGTAGATGGGTGGATAGATGGCTGGGTGGGTGGATGGATGGAGGGGTGGATGGGTGGATGGATGGGTGGGTGGGTGGATGGATGGGTGGGTGGATGGATGGATGTGTGGGTGGGTGGATGGATGGGTGGGTGGATGAATGGATGGATGGATGGATGGATGGATGGATGGATGGATGGATGTGTGGGTGGGTGGATGGATGGGTGGGTGAATGAATGGATGGATGGATGGATGGATGGGTGGGTGGATGGATGGATGTGTGGGTGGGTGGATGGATGGATGGATGGATTTTTTGGGTAGATGGGTGGATGGATGGAGGGGTAGATGGGTGGATAGATGGCTGGGTGGGTGGGTGGATGGAGGGGTGGATGGGTGGATGGATGGGTGGGTGGGTGGGTGGATGGATGGATGGGTGGATAGGTGGATAGTTGGATGGATGGGTGGGTGGATGGATGGATGGATGGGTGGATGGATGGGTGGGTGGATGGATGGATGGATGGATTTTTGGGTAGATGGGTGGATGGATGGAGGGGTAGATGGGTGGATAGATGGCTGGGTGGGTGGATGGATGGAGGGGTGGATGGATGGGTGGATAGGTGGATAGTTGGATGGATGGGTGGATGGGTGGGTGGATAGATGGGTGGGTGGGTGGATGGATGGATGGATGGATGGATGGGTGGATGGATGGGTGGATGGATGGATGGTTGATGTATTGGTTGGTGGATGGGTGGGTGGATGGATGGGTGGGAGAGGAATGGATGGATGGATGGAAGGATGGGTGGGTGGGTGGGTGGATGGGTGGGAGGGAGGGTGGATGGGTGGATGGATGGATGGGTGGATGGATGGTTGATGTATTGGTTCGTCGATGGGTGGATGGATGGATGGATGGGTGCATAGATGAATGAATGGATAGGTGATTAGTGGGTGGATGGTTAAGTGAATGGATGGATGATGGATGCGTTGGTGGGTGGATGGATGGAAGGATGAGTGGGTGGGTGGATGGATGGATGGACGGATGGATTGGTGGATGGATGGATGGGTGGTTTCCCTCCGCAAACCCCGGCCCGCCCCCAATGTGTCCACACCTGCAGGACTCTTCCAGAAAGCCATCATCCAGAGCGGGACGGCGTTGTCCAGCTGGGCGGTGAACTACCAGCCGGCCAAGTACACGCGGATCCTGGCGGACAAAGTGGGCTGCAACATGCTGGACACCACGGACATGGTGGAGTGTCTGCGGAACAAGAACCACAAGGAGCTCATCCAGCAGACCATCACGCCCGCCACGTACCACATCGCCTTCGGGCCGGTCATCGACGGGGACGTCATCCCCGACGACCCGCAGATCCTCATGGAGCAAGGCGAGTTCCTCAACTACGACATCATGCTGGGCGTCAACCAGGGCGAGGGGCTGAAGTTCGTGGACGGCATCGTGGACAACGAGGACGGCGTCACGCCCAACGACTTCGACTTCTCCGTCTCCAACTTCGTGGACAACCTCTACGGCTACCCCGAGGGCAAGGACACGCTCCGGGAGACCATCAAGTTCATGTACACGGACTGGGCCGACAAGGAGAACCCCGAGACGCGGCGGAAGACGCTGGTGGCGCTCTTCACCGACCACCAGTGGGTGGCCCCCGCCGTGGCCACGGCCGACCTGCACGCCCAGTACGGGTCGCCCACCTACTTCTATGCTTTCTACCACCACTGCCAGAGCGAGATGAAGCCCAGCTGGGCCGACTCGGCCCACGGCGACGAAGTTCCCTACGTCTTCGGCATCCCCATGATCGGGCCCACCGAGCTCTTCAGCTGCAACTTCTCCAAGAACGACGTCATGCTCAGCGCCGTCGTGATGACCTACTGGACCAACTTCGCCAAGACCGG